TTTGGTTAAAATAATCCTATGGCTATCTTTGTTTATAACGCTTAAATACTTTTCGCACTGAAATTTGTGTTTAAAATGACTGTAAGACGAAAGTCTTTTAGAGTTATTAATACTTGAATACCAATTTTGTTTGTAGATATCTAAAATTCTTTGCTTTATGACACATACATTTATATTTAAATTATCTTGTTGTAGCCAAAAGTAAGACATTCCTATTCGGTTCAATATATTTTTTATTTGATAAGCCCAGTTTTTTTCTCTGTATGATAGCTCATTATCTGCATCTTCTTTTAGCATGTTATACATTTTTTTAAGAATTGAGTTATCAGGTGACTTAAGTATTTTAATCCAGTATTTGAACATTATGATTTTACGGTATATTGCCATTGGATATCTCCCTATTTCTCCATATAATGCATCTAGATTTGTTGATTTACGAACACAAAGGATCTTTCGAATAAATTTACAATGTACAAGTTCTATATTTTTACAATCATAGTATCCAAACACTTCTGCGCTATAATTTAAGACGGATCCAACTAGTGTATCAAACAGTTTACATTTATCTTGAATCTTTAGATCAAGTTGGTTAAATACTGTAAAAAGGTTATGCATAGAAAATGATGAATGTTGAGCAAGATGCTTTTGTGTCCGATTCCAATGTCCATTTTTAAAGAAATAAACGCCTAAATTTTTAAAGCTTTTAACAATTTCTAAGGTCTGACCATTGAAAATGAAGTTAAACGTTGAATGTCTACCTTGTTCAAATATCATTATTTTAGTTTTAGATGTGTTAACTTTTAGATTCCATGTTTGGCAGTATAAATTCAAATCATTTAACATTGATTGTAATGCATTGGGTGTATTGGCAAAAAGAGCTGTATCATCAGCAAAAAGTAGCATAAATAATTTTAATTCATGAACGGTGAAAATTCCATCAATGTTACTGTTAATGTTTAAGAAATAATATATCCCAAACTGTGATTTTATTGCTCAATAACATCACTGTTTGGAGTTCGGATGCGGGGAATTATATCACGAGGGCGTAGCCCGAGTGATATAATGATGCGCATCCGAACGACAAACAGTGATGTTATCAAGCAATAAAATCATCGATTTGGATATATTATTTCGATTCTAACACGACATCAACAAATAAATGCTGCCGTACATGATAATTAGCTAAATTGCGTCTGATTTGTTTCCGTACTTATTGTCAGCGCGTCACATTTTTAGTGGTTACGTCACGTGTATAATCATTACGTCACATGTCTAAATATAGAACGTCAAACAGTGATTTTATAGCATAATAACACACACTTTCGGTTCTTCTATGTTCAATAGGGAAAATTGCGGGTCGTGTTAGAATATGAATTATGTCATTAACGAAGAATAAAAATAAAAGACTTGAACTTGGGTCACCTTGTTTTGCACCTATGTTTGAGGTGAAGTTTGGTGATATCTCTTTTTTAAACCTTATCGCTGATTTTACGCTGCTGTACATGCTTTCAATTGCTTTTACAAATTTTGAACTAACATTTTCCTGGATTAGTTTTTGAAAGATAAACGAACGTTGTAATTTATCAAAGCATGTTTCAAAGTCTACAAAGGCTACGTATAATTTATTTTTATCAGAAAGAGCTTTTACTATTATTGAGTGAAGTATAAATATGCAATCTGTAGTTGATTTTCCTTTTTGGAATCCGTATTGATTATCTATTATAGTTTTATGTTTTATAGTCCACGATGTTAGGCGATTAAGTAATACCTGTGAATATATTTTAGCAATAATGTTTATCAAAGTTATACCCCTATAATTGTTGGCATCTTCCGGGTCACCTCCCTTATGTATAGGAACAATAATTCCTGATCCCCACTCACTGGGATATTCTCCTGTATGAAATATCCTGTTAAAAAGTCGTAGAATAAAATCAGACGTTTCATTAAAAGAGATTTTAAATATTTCCGATATAAGCGTATCTATTCCACTACTTTTATTATTGTTTTGTGAAAATATTGCTTTATGTAATTCTGACATATTAATTTCTTTATCTAAATCTTCATCTATAATATTTTGATTATAAGGTGTATTTACAGTTGTTGTCTCTGTGCTATACAGTGTTTTAAAATGCTCATATAGATCTTGTGTTGTTAAAGTTTCAGCCCTTCTTTTATTTTCAGTGTATTGACTTCTAATCTTATTCCAGAATTTACGTGGTTGAGATTTACTCATTTCATTTAAGTTTTGCCTCTCATTAAAGTTATATTTTTTCTTTTGGGTTCGTTTAATTTTGTTATAATTATTTTTATAGTTTATATATAGATTACGAAGGTTATCATTGTCTTTGTTCTTTACAAAAGCATTTCTTGCTTTTTTGAATTCAGCTAGCAGTGTAACAGTCAGCATTGAACCATGGTTTTTTCTTTAATACTTTATTTATAGATACAGTTCGTGTTGTTCGTGTTTGTCCGAAAATATCATTTGAACAATCGCTTAAAATCTTAATAAAAGACTGTGATATAGTATTAATATTTTCGTTTTGGTTAATTTCATTAGTTAGCTCTAATATATCTCCTCTTTTTGAGTTTAAGCATTCCATAAATTGTGAAATTTTTGTATTGTCAAATTTCAAAAACGTTTCTTTGTGTATTTCAATCGGCGGTGAAGCGTGATTTTTACATGGTAGACTAAAACAGAGTCCGCTATGATCCGAAAACTCGTTAGGTGGGGTAATACAAAAATGTGAAACAAGTTCAAAATCATCAATATGCAACAATAAATACAAGTGACGCGACGTTAAGGCGACGGTCAGGTCCAATGCTCAATTGGGATAATAATTATAGTGACGCTACGGCTGGGTTTACCGTGACGGTGTTGTACCGTAATTATAATTATTGTACTGTTTAATTTGTACATGTACAATTAATGTCACTAGTCAATTAGTTTAGTGACATTTTTCAAAATATCAAAAAGTATACCAACTGTCGGCGTAACGCATTTGGTAAGGATGCTATCTGTTAATTTTCTAATAAGCTGCACCGTTGTTAGCTGTACATTTTTTTTTTTCAATAAAAAAAAAATAAACAAAACAAAAAAAAACAAAAAACAACTGCGCTTTCTCACATTTTTCATATAATGTTACTTCATACACATGTACTTTTTAAATTTCTTATATTTCATTTTACTTGATTAAATGAAATCATTTTATTGCGTTACGTTTAATTTCATGCCTTTATCACACGATGAAGAATTTAATTTGACAATTTTTCATATGATAAAATGGTTACGCTATAAAAAGAAAATGTACTTGCAAGTTGGTGCGACTATATATTGAACAAAATGCCGGTATGTACATACATTGCCTTAACTTTAGGTTAGTTGGCACGAAATTCTTGTGCACTATACAAATACTACTTTTACTGCACAAGGCAAGTTTTCATTATTACTGGTATTTTTTATATATAAATTAATAGTTAGACGATATAAAAAACAAACTTATTAATTATGTTTATATGACATTTCGTTTTCGTGTCATGGAAAATGAAGAAGAAGAAAATGATGATGATGATGATGATGAAGATGATGATGAAGATGAGGAAGATGGAGAAGAAGAAGAAGAAAAAGAAGGTGAAAAAGAAGAAGAAGATGATGATGATAATGATGATGCTGATGATGAAGATGAAGAAGATGGAGGAGAAGAAGAAGAAGAAGATGATGACGATGATGATGATGATGATGACGATGATGACGACGACGATGATGATGATGATGATGATGATGATGATGATAATGATGATGATGATGAAGATGATGATGTTGATTATGATGATGATGATGATGGTGATGATGATGATGATGATGATGATGATGATGATGATGTAGAAAAAGAAGGAGGACGAAGTAGAAGAAAAAGAAGAAAAGAGAAAAGAATTAAAAAAGAAGACATTTTGTCAAGCTCGAAATCGTGGCAAAATGTTTGATTTTGATTTCATGCAATCCCGACTACTTTTTCAAGGTGTTCATCCAGGCATTTGCAATTAATTTGCAAATCAACTGTTATATGCATGTGTTACATGTTAAGTCCATTGTTGAAAATGTTTGTATACACATCTATGAGCCGCGTCACGACAAAACCAACATAATGGGTTTGCGACCAGCATGGATCCAGACCAGCCTGCGCATCCGCGCAGTCTGATCAGGATCCATGCTGGTCGCTTACAAACCCTATAACAAGTATGGAAACTGATAGCGAACAGCATGGATCCTGATGCGCAGGCTGGTCTGGATCCATGCTGGTCGCAAACCCAATATGTTGGTTTTGTCATGACGCGGCTCATATAGAAACGTCACTTTTTCACATTGTTATAGATAAACAGTTAAATCATTCAATATTTGCAATGGAACAATGGAACCGAAATACTGTATTCGTGCTGTGTATTTATACTAAAATGCTTGATAATATTACTATTGGCACCGACACTGTTTTGCACACAAGCTCGCACTTAATGCTCCCCATGTTTTAAAGTTTATATTGCTCATTATGTAATTGAATTGAAATTAAAATGATTAAATTATCGATTTGTTGTATGTTCAAACACCAATAACTAATCATTAACAATATACGGTTTTACTCTAACGCCGCAGTAGATTATATGGAAATTTATCGACAATAATCTTTATCATCTTCGAGGCGGCCCAAAAAAAGTTCAATTAAAAATTTCCAACACCAATCAACCTTGACTTTGAAATTCTTCTCTTCATTCGTACGAATGATGTTGAACGAAAATTGTCTGATTAGATATAAAAGAACGTTTTGATTATGAATTGTTTAGTTTTGATTTTAAACGTTGGATTAATTTGCACGATCTGGGTGGTAAAGACGCTCGGTAAAGTAACACTTAATCTTGTAATATTTTAGCTGTCAATAAATTTTACTAGCAGATTTATGGTAGTTCCGTTTTTACAGACTTTTCTTTAAATTATGGTGACTGATTTAGCGATGTCGTCTTTTCGCTTCTCCACCTCAAAATGCGAAAATGCGAAATCACGAAAGGACGACAAAGGTGGTCGTGTTTTCGCTTTTTCGGATTTTCGAGGCAAAAAGCGCTTTTTCGTCTTCAAAATACAAAAATGCGAACTCACAAAGAGACGACAAAGTATGAGAAAAAGCTAAAAATGCAACAATGTGAAAATGTAACAATGCGAAAAAGCGAAAAGCTACAATCCGAAAATGTAGCAATGCTTTTAAAATGCAAAGAGACGATAAAGTTATACTTTGCGTCTTTTTGTGATTTTGCATTTTTGTATTTTGAAGCGTATCAATCAGCATGTTCCAAATTTCATTATAATTGTGATAAAACACTCCAGGGTGTTCCAAAAGGTAATAATAAAACTGCATATGCATTGTAAAATGTAAAAAGTGATTTTAAGCAGCCTTAATAATGTAATGAAACAAAGTAACACTTATATCGTCATTAACGCGAAAGTGTTATGTTGATAAAAAATTCAATTCAGGCTTGCCTAAAATTGCTATGAATCAACCAAATTTCAAAAACCTAGATCGATGGTTGATCGCAATCTTTATTTCATATAAAAGTAACTGCAGAATTGCGATCAAACTTCGATATAGGCACTTTAAGTTTGTCATTTGATGTATTTATAAATACATGTACATATCCCTGTGTTTGTAGGTCAAGTGAATTTGGCATTAAATAAGGTGACGTACCAGACAGATACTTCCGGCGATTATTTTGCAAGTCTAGTTGTTGACGGAAACCCGTCCTACAATTTCAACGACGGCACGTGCTCAAGAACGCTGTCAAACGATGCATCATGGGAAGTTGATCTCGGTGCGATATACTTTGTTGGTTCAGTGGAAATCTACAACCGAGTAGATTGCTGTTGTATGTATTGTCTTAGGACTTTCGGACTTGTACTCATTGTAATAAAAACTTAGTGTCCAGCTTTATTTGTCATCCAATGAAAACGCTGTATTTCTTCAAAATTATGTGCGTTAATTTTCATAGAAGAAAAAAAGTCGATACTATATTGAAATCCGTTCATAGTCGCCTTCTTTTTTTCATAGTGCTTCATAGTACCGCGTAGTGACGTAATCAAGGGCCAAATAAAGCTTGACACTAAATATGTTAGTGTTCATCCTTAGCTGTTCTACAGAAATTAGAAACATTCTCCTGTCGCTATCGCTCCCGTCGAAGTTTCTAATTTCTGTAGAACAGCACGGATGAACACTAACATATACATAATTGGTGGTGAATTTCATTACTTGCTTGAATGTGATACTTTTAAAGAAATCAGAACAAAAATGTTAAAGAAATACTATTATTGTCACTCAAATGCCTATAAATTGGAAGAACTAATGAAAGTAAAGATCATGTTAAATTAACAAAATTAGCTTTACTTTGTAAGAAAATTCTGTCAGTTGTTCAATGAGATTTTTTGGTCACTTGTCATTCTCTAATTCTGTTATTTTCTATTTTACAATGGTATATCAACAATTGCATGTAGCATTATTCATTTTGAGTGTTGAAATTGTGTCAATCTTTTAATTGTACTTGTAATTGTTTATTACCTATATATGTTTGATGAAGTTTTTGTTGTTTTGTTAGCTGTTTATATTCGTATGAAAATGTGTTTTCAATGAATAAAAAAATTGAATTGAGCCGCGTCACGACAAAACCAACGTAGTGCGTTTGCGACCAGCATGGATCCAGATCAGCCTGCGCATCCACGCAGTCTGATCAGGATCCATGCTGTTCGCTTACAAACCCTATTACAAATAGAGAAACTGATAGCGAACAGTATGGATCCTGATTAGACTGCGCGGATGCGCAGGCTGGTCTGGATCCATGCTGGTCGCAAACCCATTATGTTGGTTTTGTCGTGACGCGGCTCATTTGTTTTTGTAAGCATTGGTCTCACGCAAAAGGAAGATTAAGGCGAGGGTGTTACTAAGGGACCCGGGCTCAAACTTGCCATGTTTTTGTCACAGGGGAGGGGAGACGGATTATGGATTTGTGTGTCCCTGATAAATTGTCAATCTAAACTACCTTAACCCCACCCCAACCCTCAACCCCTAACCCTCAAGCCTTTTCGGTAAAAGCTGTGACTAGGTTAAGGTGGGAAAAAATAGGTTAGGGTTTCCAAAAACTTAGATGAAAGTTTATTTGATCTATTTCATCTTGCAAGAACAGATTTGATACATCCGTTAATAATTACACTGTAATCTAGCGACCTCTACATCAACTTCGTTGTTCTGTAAACACACTTCTATATCTGTTTCAGCGAATGATTTAAGAGACATAGAAATCTATACAGGTCTGACTAGAGACGCCTACCAGTTTGTGGGGACACGGCCGGGACCAGCTGGTCTCGCGATCATATATTCACCACTCACTATGCCGGAATTTCAGTGGCTGAAAATCTCTCGTAAGGCAGGGAGCAAGGCTCCGTTGACCCTGTGTGAAGTAAAGGTGTTCCCATCTGACGTCACCACCACACAGGCGTCTGACGTCACCACTACACAAGCGTCTGACGTCACCACC